TATTAATTTACTAACTTCCACTACCGCTTTCCAGCAAAATCAGCATTTTGATATCTTTTTTTTTTTAAATTTTACATACAGTGGACTCTTAATCACCCCCAAAGCTTCGATTATACGATCAATACAATTCATATTTATATTAAATCTTTTGGGGGTGGCGGCGGTTTCGGGATACACCCTTACAAATGAAACATAATTGACATTTTTGAAGTCACAAGTTTCTATTGAAACATTTTTTCCAATGTATATTTTAATTTTTTTTGAGTTTTTTTGCGGGAGGTTTCGCCTTCCTCGGGAGCAAGGTTTAAAATAAGATCTTCCGACGGCTGCACATCCCCCAACGTGTCAACACATCTACGTTTGCGTTCTAAAATAAACTAATTTTAATTATAATTTTATGCTTAACATTTATCGCAGAAAGTATTTAACAATAAAAGAACAATACACAAAAAAAACAAAAAAAAAAAACCTTACGTTTCACTCACCATTACGAGCTTCCATTGTAATCCTTATGGAGGATGATAGCACCAACCTCACCGCTTCGAAATGTAATGATCAAGTGAAAGTTTCACAAGTCTCTTGTGCGCTTACTTGTGCGCTTACAGGATGTTTACGCTTTCAAAACACGTATTTCATCAAATACTACTTTCACCTCCCCCTCAAAATCTTAACCTTGATCTAACCTTTCTCAAGGAAAAGCGACCATCTCGTTCCTAATTTAGCAATGCAGAATATTATCCCAGCCCACTCAACTGAAACCAACCCTTTCAAATGCGCATATTACATTCGACTCGTGAATTTTAATTAAATCATTTCCCCCCCCTTTTTTTTTTTTTTACAAGCCTCTCATCCTTCATTTAACGCGCTATTTTAGAAAAACATAGTATATGACAAACAGTCTCGCCTACATTACCGCCTACTACTACATCCAAGTACTTTTGAAGGACGACGGCACTTCCGGGGTGCAGGGATACTCAAATCCTAACTACTTATTATTTCTTGCAAAATTTTAAAAACTCCTATATTATAGGTTTAAAGTAAAGCGAATTAGAAGAATTGGAGGAATGGTTTTTTTTTTGAGGCGTCAATTAAGGTCGAGGGTCCTTGTGATGTATTGGTAAGGAAAGTTCATGAAGCAATTCCTGAGAACAGACGCTTCACAATGACAACTCTTTCAGAGGCATTTCCACAAATTTCACGTACTGTTTTGTTCGAAATTGTGTCTGACTGCTTGAATTATCGCAAACTGTGTTCCCGATGGGTTCCAAAAATGCTCACTGATGTTCACAAAACAAAGCGACTTGGTAGTGCCCTGACATTTCTCATGCGGTACAGTGATGAGGGAGAAAACGTTTTAAACCAAATTGTGACAGGCGATGAAACTTGGGTGTGTCATTTCACACCTGAATCGAAACAACAATCAATGGAGTGGAGACATACTCATTCTCCGAAAAAACAAAAGTTCAAAGTGACAATGTCATCACAAAAAATCATGTGCACTGTCTTCTGGGATAGGAAAGGCGTTTTGCTTACTGAATTTCTTCCCAGAGGTGAAACCATTAATGCGGCACGATATTGTGAGACTAAAAAAAAAACTAAGGCGTGCCATTCAAAACAAACGAAGAGGAATGCTCAGTAAAGGAATTGTGTTGCTCCATGACAATGCTCGGCCCCATACTGCTGGTGTCACTCAATCGTTAATTCGACAGTTTCATTGGGAGAAGTTCGATCACCCGCTGTACAGCCCGGACTTGGCGCCGTCCGTAGTAGAAGATGTTCACTATTACTTGTTCCTGCACATGAAGTGCGAGCTTGGTGGCAAGCGCTTCGGATCTGACGATGACACGAAAAATGCTGTGGAGTCGTGGTTATCGAAACTGGCGGGAAGTTTCTTTGACAGTGGTATACAAAAACTGGTCACCCGCTATGACAAGCGTTTGATCATTGGCGGAAACTATGTTGAAAAATAGTTTAAGACATGTATTTTCATGTAAAAATAAAATTGGATTCGAAAAAATTGTTTACTATTTTTTTTTTTTTCCAAAACGGTACTTAGTTTCCGAATACGCCTCGTATATATATAATGTTGTATGATCTTAAATTCACTTTCGGAATTAAACTTCCTACCTATGGGTTCACTCTTTTTAGATACTTCTACTAAAAATAATATATGGAGATAATATAATCAATATTTCTTAAGTAAATAAATTATTATATATATATATTACAAATATCACAACATAAGAATCATCTCTACTTTTGTTGTTCATATTTTGAGCTTTTCTTTTTTGTTCATGTCTTTTAAAATGTGCCATGCTAGTAAAACATACCCAGAAATGTGCTGGATTTAATTTACATAATAAAATAGTTTTTGAAAGTATTGACAAATGCTTTTATATCATTATAATAACAACTTAATGTTTTGATTTAAGGATACCAAATTTGGTTTGTGTGACTTGTCCCATGATTGGGTTAGTAACCATGTTTTTGCAAGTTCCTTTATCAGTATTATTGCAGCTTAATTTACTTGGAGTGCTATGCAAAGGAACAAAATTTGATTGCAGAACAGATGGTGTTATGCAGAGACTTTTAGGAAACTTCGTGCAATACTTGGGTACAAATTTGCACCTATTTGACACCAAATACTAAAATGTCTCTCTAAATCTGGCTGAACTGTGAAGAAACTGCTTTTTTGCCTGACAGTTTGCTGAGAGTCCAAAAAATTGCATTTGGCATTGTTTGCAATAGTTTGGATTTTTTCATAGATTTGCGCCTGCATGATTTTAAAATTAACAAACCCAGGAACTGAAACTGAATAATCACTTGCAATGGAGATAGCTCATTAAATGAGTTTTGAGGATGCAACTAATAAATAAAGATTTTGTGCACAAGGTAGCATTCACTTATAAAATACATCTTCATATAAATGAACTTGTTGCATTTGGGCAACACATAATCCTTGAGAAATCTGTGAGACAGCATCGCATTTGCAACAAATAATCATGTGGTTTGGATTTTGGACTGGTGTGATAAGTCTATACTGTTTTTGAGGTATGGATGGAAATGCCATAGCCATTAATGGAAAACAATATTACAACCTGGTTAGGAGATTTTTGTGCCTGCATTTGAATGGAATGGATTTTTAATGCATGTAATTTTAGTGTCATTTCCAATTTGAATCGTCTATCAAAATGATGACCAGAAACTGGTTGCCTCCATCATACCTAAGTTTTACTGTTTGTTCCTTAGAGAATTTCTGAAATCTGAGATCTATACAGATTGACTCAAATTGTGCAAGAACTTGAAAGTGAATGTGTTTGTAAACCACAATAATGAGCAAATAGGCGAAAAACTGATCATGAATTTTATTGAGAGAGAGTCTCACATTTATTGAGAGAGTCTCACATTCATTATATTTATTGAGAGAGAACATTGGCTATTTCCTTATGACTTGCGATGCATAATAAGGAAATAGCCAGATCTTATTTTTCATTTTGAGATTGGAATATTTACCTATTAAAATAATGGAAAAGTATTTGCCATATTAAAAACTACCATTACTCTTTTGATGCTCATCAATGAGCTGAGCTTACATTCCAATTACATGCCACAGTGAGTGCAAACAAACACAGCTCACATTACAAATTTATGACCGACGCATTTGGGTAGAAATAATTTTCTCCAAAAACCAACCACCATAGAATTAAACAAGTTTTAGATGCATTTATCAGAAGAATATCTGAACGTATTAAAATGAGCTTCTAATATTTTACTTCCTTTTGTGGAAACGTATTTGTACAAGACTGGCTTTTCATGTAATACTGCAACAAAATCCAAACGTAAAAACCGACTTGACGGAACATCTGATATAAGAATTTAGATTTCTAACATTGTTCTTGGCATTGAAAGAATTTGCAATTTGAAGATTCAGACATTTCAGACATGAAGTCGTTGAAAACTAAATATTTAATTTTTAAAATATTTTTAATTCCATTTAATTAGTTTTATGCATAATTTTTTATATAATTAAAAATTGAAAAGCATTTCTTTTATAGCTGTGACATAAAAATTGGAGTAGTGAATATATTTTTTTGTTTATATGATATATTTGCATTATCATTTATTATAATTAAAAACTCAAATTTACTTTAGCGTTCCTTAAAAATGTTAGAATATTTAAGTGCTCCTGTATTAAGAAAGTTTGGAAAACACTGATATAATAGAATGTATTGAATGAGAAAAGACTTGATAAGTATAGATACTTCAGTGTTCATGATTTGAATACTATTTTAAATTTATTTGATATTAATAATTAAGGGTGTGTTAGTTTTTCCTTTTCTTTTTAAGTGGAAAAAAAAGATACAAAGTAGAAACTACTTGAGTTACTAATATAGAGAATAATTTGATTTCTAATATTATAGAAAGTAAACATTCTAATAAGTGTGGACTTTTCAAATGTCTAATTCAGTTTGTTTTATTTTTTTGCATATTGTTTATTGAAAATTCGGTACTTACGTATTATCGCAACCAGGTTGGCGCTATTTGTAAGTTTCAGTAAAAAAGTATGAATAAAAAGGAAATGTACATTTATTAATTACAGATAATTTTTAATACAGTTTTTATATTATTTTTGTTTTAAAATATAAAATAGCAACCCTTCCGGTTTCGAATTTGAATAAGTTGCAGAATTATTTTCGGCGGAAATCTTTTGGCTATTGCTTTTAGCATTGATTGAAAACCGTATTCGGCATAACCATGTACACGTTGACTTATTTTTACTTAAAAAAACATCCCAGAATTGCACAAAAATGGCATTGCGCACACTCTTGACTTTATCCATGTACTCTGCTATTTTCTCATAAATTACAAAAATTTGCACGAAAATGCAGGAAAATTTTGTGAATCTCCACATACTCTTTTTACAAAACTACGTATAACACGTAGGGTTGCCGTAAGTAGGGTTGCCAAATTTGGCAATTTATGCGAATTTTGGCCTGGTTGCAATAATACGTAAGTACCGAAAATTCATTGTTTAATATGTTTTATAATTGTTAAAATTTGATATTTTAGAACTACCTCATGGCTGGGAAAGAATGGTTGGTGAAGATGGACTCGTTTATTTTGTTGAGTAAGCTTACAGTTTTCTGTAATTTGAAGTTATTTTGTAGTAATATTTTGGAAAGCTTTCCAATATATCTTTTGCATCGTTTTTAATTCTTCCATTTAATTGTAGTTGCACTATATTTGTTAATCTGATGTAATAAAACTAATTTAATTCTTCTGCTATCCTTATTTTTTTATATTATATCTAGACTATTGATTAACCTTTTGATGCTCGTCAAAAAGCTTTGCCCTCATTCCTAGTTATGTACCCCAGTGGGCATAAACAATACTGTTGGCATTACAGATCTGTGACTGACAGATATTGCATGTATTTGGCAAGAAAGAATTGCTTCATTTTGCCACTGCAAAAGGATTAAAGTTAATTTATGTCATTTAATTTCACATACTCTTAATAGAGAGTGCCATGTATATTTTTAATTTTAAGAAAAAGGTCTTTATTCTTACTCTTACTTATTTTAAAAGTCCTTTCTCTCTTCCAAAAAATAGAAATGGTTTTCTATGCCAAGAATTAATAACAGTTTTAATTTTTGCAATTAAAATTTTACTTCCATGTTAGTACATGAGAAATTTTTTTAAATAATAACAATTGTTTTTCCTTAATAATCATTACTATCATCTATGCTATATCATATTTTATTGATTTCAGTACAGTAACAAAAAGCACTCTTGATGTTTGCAATCATTGGGAATAGTTGTGGTTGATTTAAAATTATTCTGACCATCCCTTGGCTGTTTATTTTTATCCTTTCACATATCAAATGATTTTCTCATTGCTGTGTTCTTAATTAAAATATTATTGTGCTATTAATCTTTTCAGAAAAGCTCAAGACAATTTTAGAAAACATGCCAAGTACTATTTTAAAAGATGCCTATATTTTGTAGTGTTATAATTAATTTCCTTCATTTGTGAGATAGGATGAGGAACACCTACATTTATCTAAGCAATTAAGTTAGGTCAGTATTGAATTAATCATTTTTCTAGGCTTTCAAAACCAGTTCAGAAAGATCTAGAAGAGAAATAGGTATTACAAAATATCTTCTGTCTTATTATTATAAGGGAACTTTTTAATAAGCTGCTTGTATAATTTGTCTGTGTTCTCCTCTTGTCTAGCTTTTTACCATAGACTTACCATAGAAAAATTCGGCAATAAGGGATGACATTTATTTTGCTTGTGAACAAGACATTCAGAAGCAAAGGACCATGTTTCCAATAAATTTATTTTGCTTGTGAACAAGACATTCACAAGCAAAATAAATTTATTGGAACAGGTTCCTTTGATCTAAACACTCATCATCTGCCATCAGTACTCAAGAACTATGTCTCTTAACTTGTAACAATGCTATTGCTATTTATTTGAAAATTGATTAGGAAAGATGAAAATAATATAACAGTACCGTAAATTCTTCCAATTTTGTCACGAGACTCATTTTTCATAATATCTCCCAGCCTTCCCATAGATCACCAAATTTCCCATTGTTTAATTTTTAGCTTTACTAAGGAAAATGTTTCCCAGCAGTAAATGAAATTTATTGAATTAAGGGAACTTAAATTAGGCCAACTTTATTCTCCTCTACTCTAATGATTTTCAAATATTTTCTTTTTAATAAATTTTATTTTATTTGAATTGTATTTTTTCCCTTATTACACTTTATTGATCTTTGTTTTATAAAATTTTTTCATTAAATTTCATTTGATCAGTTGTCTTAATGTATGATATTTGTAGATTTTTATCTGAAAATTCAAGCAGTGTTTAATCAGTTAATGTTTGTAATTAATTTAATTTTGTTGCTTATGGTACATTACTAAGTGTATCCATGCAAATACTGTGTGCATCGATTATTAATTTTATTTTCATTTTATTTAAAAGTACCTTGATATATAAAACCTTTCCTGCAGTATACAAGATTTTCTTAGTGCATAAGTATAAGAAAATTTTAAAAATGACCCAAAGAACACAAAATTTAGAATATCCAATTAAATATTAATATATTGTTACAAATTTTGTACGTATGTAACTAATTTTAGTGAAATTATAGTGGAATTTTTTCGTATGATTTAAAATGAAATGCTTGAAAGAGGAGATGCTCTGCCAGAAACATAAGAACAAAAGGGCAAGTCTATTTAACATAGAGTAAATGACTATATTGCTAAATTGGCGTCTCGCTAATTGGCCACTAATTTTTATCGCCAGATTTGGTGAAAAATCACTAAAATTTGCCAAACTTTGCGACGATTTGGCAACATTGACATTGACATTTTGCGACCATTTGACATTTTGGTTCAGTCCCTATATGTAATGCGCATTGTGATTTAATAATTGTAATTGATCCTATATCTAACTATAACCATATCTGGCCCTCATATGCCTTCTAGTAATTTTGTAAGTGGAAGGTACTAGAGATTTCTCAGCAGCTGGGAGAAAACTACATAAGACTGGGAAGAACATCAGTTTTTCAGTAGTAGTTGTTGGTTCAGAGCTGAATTCGGAGTATTGAGATATCCATGAAAGCATCACATTTTAGATACACTTTGCATTGCTATATGTAACTGTAACCATTTCTGGCCCTCATATGCCTTCCAATAATTTCGAGAAGTGGAAGGTATTAGAAATTTCTCAGCAGCCAGTTGAAGACTATACGAGATTGGGGAGAACATCAGTTTCTCAGTAGCTGTTGTTAGTTTAGAGCTGAATTCGGGGCACTGAGATATCCAGGAGATCTTCGCCTTTTAGATGGACTTTTTATTGCATTTTGTTTAACAATCTTAGTAGTCTGAAGTGTAACCACTGATTGTGTTGTGTGATACTAAGAAGAATGAGGATTTGCTGTGTAAAGTTCCAGAGTACTGTAAAGTGTTTCTTTCAGTAAAATAAATTTTATTAAATTATCATCAGTTCTCTGTGTATTCAATCCATTACAAATCCGTATGCATGCAACAATATTTTGCATCAGAATTAAATTACAAATAGGCCATATAACGTGAACTGCAGTCAGTTTTAATTCGTTTCACATGCTATTGCTGCATAACATGAAAATCTCACAGTTTCTATTGGTTTTTAAGATTTCAAGGTTGGCGGCTATGCTGAAACCATGACTTGTCAATGAAATAATGTCTTTGGAGCAGAACATGGATTGTAGTGGAATAAGGAGGACATTCAAGAACTGTTGGAGAAAATGGCTAGACTGATCACTAATGAGCTGATGGATCTACATCACAAAAAAGTGCATTTGCATCACAAGGTTATAGAGGAGATTTCATCTGAAGAGGAAAAGAAAAAAAAGGGGGGGGAAATGAGATGTGTAAAACTGGGAAAGTGTGTAAAATTCTGTAAAAACAATCATTGGAATAAGGCCATAGCTTTGTGAGCAATAAATCTGTTTGATGGTAATGCAATGTAACATTCTCAAAGAATCTTCAAGAGTCAAAAACAACTGTCATTGGATAAGTTTCTTTGCTTGAACTCTAAAGTTATATTGATTACAATTATTATAGCCAATGATAAATTTTATATAGTTAAATTCTTGAAATAAGTTGCTCCGTTTTCCCAAACTTCTTCCATCTCTGGATAAAATTTTGAAGATTTAAACCTATATGAGTGTATAAGTAAGTAAGATAAAAAAAAATGGGTAAAATAAAATTATTACTTAAATTAGCAATAACCTATAATTCTTCATTTTAATTTGTGTATCTCTCTTTCCTGTTCTCAAAGTACATATAGTATACTGTTTATTGTTTAATTATTTATTGTTATTTGATTATGTAATCTTTCAGTGCAAATAGCTCTTATCCAGTCATCTATACTGTCTGCTGTTCATTGTCTGAAAATGTAATCTGTGGAAAATTGTGGGGTGCATTTCGTAACCAAAAGGATGTATGAATGAGAACATGTATTAAGAACTAGTTGTCCGACAATGAATTATGTCTTGTTTTTAGCCATGTCTATTTGCTAGTTGTCTTTCCATATGCATTATTTAAATTTGCTGCTATCACCCAATCATCAAGATATCGCAAAATTCATTACATATTATATGCATATATTTGTATAATTTTACTACAATTTATGTATATTAAAATTCCAATCTTCTTTACTATTATTAATTTATTATATTGCCATTTGTAATTTTGATGGGCACGATATTTGCAGTGTGTTTATTTCTTGATAAAACCTTATAAAATTTAATTTCCCTAAAAGTTACACATCAAGTAAAGCAATGTTAAATTTGTTTAAAAAGTGTTGTTTCTGATTATTTCTGTAAAGTGCAATATGTCTGTGTAAAGTTGTCACTTACTAACTGCATATTTATCATTATCTAATGTGCATCAATTTTTCTCTGTGTTTTAAGTACTTAAATAATTTTCGTACTATCTTCTATATCACTTACTGTACCTTTTCAGTCATATAAATCAGAAAACGACATATACTGATCCAAGATTAGCATTTGCAGTTGAAGAAAAGGAATCACCAACTGATATAAGACAAAGATTTGATGCTAGTACTGTTGCTTTGCAAATACTACATGGGAGAGATTTAGGAGGGAAAGTAGCAATAATAACTGGTGCAAATTGTGGAATAGGTCTGTATTTATATATGTACATTCAATTATATAATTACATTTTATTAACATTTTTACTGAAGGCAGTGCTGAAAATTTAGTGTTGGAAATTTGTAGATACAGGTATTCATTGCTTTTTAAAAGCATATTTCCTACCATTTCACTTGTATGGAAAAAAATTATTTTAAGTTACTATTATCATTAACCAAATTTGATTTTTACAAAAATGTCATTTAACATTTGTTTTATGCATTAAATACTATTAGGGTATTAAAAAAGATTAGCAATTTGTTTTCATTTGTATTTTATAATCTACACACCATAAACTTGACATATTCACCATGTGAAGTAAGGCATGTGTCATATTTTGGCACTAATTGTAACATATCCACTTCGTAGAATGCGGCCACCTGCAACCTGAACCAGCTCTGGACCTTTACCTCAATCTCATTATCACTTGCAAAGTGCTGGCCGGCAAGGAAATTTCTTGAGATGAGAAAACAAATAGAAGTCAGATGGTGTGCTGCAATTTATGATCTTTTTTCTTATTCTTATTTTTTGCATTTTACAACATTTGATAAATGATCTTTTGCTTACCTTTCTTGATAAATATCCACAGGAACACTTGAAAGTCTTTTCCATTTGTATCACACAAAAGCTTTATTTGCAGCTATGTACAACAATTGTATGCTTACAGAAGAACGTTCATCATGTTTCTCTGGTTGCCATTACATCTATACATCAAAATCCACAATGCAGTAAGAAAAATATAACAAGCTAAAAGTAAAAATGCTGCGCCCTCTCGTGGCTGCCAGCTACATAAATTGTAACATCCTCCCCCTCGATGAACTCTTGGTTCATCAAAGGATTGGATTCTGAAGTTACCTTAAACACCAAATTTTTTTAATGTTCTACAAGTTTAAATGTTCATATACGCAGTGTTCACAATTTAAATTCACTGTAATCAGTTCAAAGAGTTAAAGTCGTTTCTAACCGGTACAATAACAACACAGGACGACAAAGATTAGTTCCATTAGCTAAACGGATAGTGCAAGCCCTTATTTTTCCATCTCATTCTGGATGACACTCCTGTACGACTCTCATTTTCCATAATAATCTTGGTAATTTTTCTTCATGTACTAGAACTACAGATCCCTTCAAAAGATCTGTTACAGCATTACTTCTCTGAATTTGTTTTACATTTCTAATTTCAAGTAAGTATTCCCTTTTCCATCTTTTTCAAAATCCTTCTAATAACCTTAGCTGGTATTTATATTGGCTTGTTAAATTTTCTTTAGTTGAATCGGGTTCAAGAATTTTGTCAGATGGTAAAGATGTCAGTCTTCGTCCAACTAGAAAATGAGCTGGTGTCAGCGGTTCTGGTTCTCTGACTTCACTGTAAACATAAGTCAGCGGACGTGAATTCAGTATTGCCCCAATTTCAATTAAAACTGTTTCTAGCTCTTCAAACTTAAGTGAATCCTTCATGAGTATTTTCTTCAAACATGACTTGATAGATCTAACAAGCCTTTCCCAGAAACTGCTCCACTAAGCCTCTTTCTCCATTGAATTTCTACTCAATACCTGTATTACCGAAATAATTTTGAACTTCTGTGTCCTTGATGGTATTCCATAGTTTTTGTAAATCCTTGTCTGTTCTTTTGAAGTTTTTTGCATTGTCTGAATATATTATTTGACATGCTCTTCTTCTTGAAATAAATCTTCTAAAGGACAGAAGAAAATTGTTTGCTGTTTGGCTAGACACTAGTTCCAGATGCACTGCTCTGGTTACCGCACATGTATACAGAGCAATATAAGCCTTCCCAGTTTCTTCCTTTGTACTCATAGGACCAGCGAAGTCAACTCCTACAACTTTGAAGGGATTTGCCTCTGTTATTCTTTCGGTTGGTAAAGGAGCGATATCCTGATTTAGCTTTAAATCTGTGTCACATCATGCACTTGTTAATATTACTCTTTACATGCTGTCGATCCTTTAGTATCCAAAGTTTTCCTCTAACTTGAGTTAAAGTTTCAGCTACACCAGCGTGTCCTTGTGTTTCGTGACAATCTTTAATGATATGATCTGTCAAACGAGACTTCTTGGGTAATATTGCTGGTTATGTTTGATTATAGCTTAACCCAGCATTTTGAAGCCTTCCACCTACTCTGAGTATTCCATTTGAGTCTACAAATGGAATTAATGTAAATATTTTCGAACTATGTATGCTTTGTTTCATCATTAATTTCTTTATTTCTTCTCTAAAATTTTCTTCTTGAGTTTTCTTGATCCAGAAATTCTCTGCTACAGCCATCTCTTCAGGCTTGAAAGGTCCAATTCTTCTTAATTTTGGGTTTTTCATATTATTGAGAAATCTGAAAACGTAAGATGTTATTCTATATATTTTTTTTATGTCACTGAAGTTCTGGATAGGAAGGATAGGTTTTGAATGTATCTGTTTTTAACAATACAGTTTGCTGTTAAGATTTATTTCTTGCTTCTTTCCTTTTCCTTTCTCAGAATTTGTTATTTTATCATCTTCATTAAACTTTCTCAAAGATCTGGGCCAAACCTTGTTATCTTGAACAAGCCAAGGTGGTCCATACCACCACAATTAATTTTTTGAAAGGGTTTCTACCTTCTGCCCTCTCGTCGATAAGTCCAACAGATTCTCATGGCTTGGGCAATAATTCCACCAATCTGGATCAGTTTTCTCTTGGATTTCTAGACACCTATTTTGTACAAATTGTTTCCATTTTGTCGGATCAGCCTTGACCCAGTGTAGTACAATTTCTGAATCTGTCCACATATAAATCTTCATTTCTATGTTTTTCAACGAATGTCGAATGTATGTGATGAGTCGAGCTCCTATGACTGCTCCTAAAAGCTCCAGTCGAGGTAACGTAACCCTTTTTTATGGGAGCAACTCTTGCTTTTTGGACATAACAAATGATGTTTTTGTTAAGCTCATTTTCATTGTATCCTCAAATATACAACGGCACCATATCCCTTTTGGCTACTATCTGTAAAACAGTGCAATTGAATATTCGACAGATTGTTGAAATAATGTCTTGGAATTTCAACATTTTCTAGTTTAGGAATTTCATTATACCAGGCTTTAAATTGGTTCTGCAATTCTTGATTTAGTGGTGCATCCCATTGGTATCCTCTTTGCCAACATTCTTGCATCATCATTTTAGCTGCAACAACAAAGGGAGATATGAAACCGATAGGATCGTATAGTTCGCCCGCAACTTGAAGAATCTTCCGTTTTGTTATTTCCTCAGCCGGATCCTTGAGTAATTCATCTTTGATTCGAAATTTCAGTTTATCTGCTTCATGATTCCAAATATATCCTAACAAAGTGCTATTCATTCCGTCTCCATTAAACTTCGTATTTTCAGCTGCATTCCAAATCGCATGTAATTGGGCGTTATTGCTCCTCCACTTTCTCATATTGAAACTAGCAAGCATCATAATTCTTTTCACATCTTCATAAATTTCTGCAGCTTCTTCTTCATCATCTGTACCATGAATCAAATCATCTACGTAAAAATTTTCTTCAAGAAGCTGACAGATCTTCGAATATTGTGCTTTCAACTTTCTTGCGTGATGCTTTATAGTTGCTGCTAGTAAAAAGGGGCTACAGGTTGCTCCGAATATTACACGTGTCATTCTTAAAATCATTGGTTGCTCCTTTTCCTTTGTAGTCTAAAGAAATCTTACTGCATTTCTGTCCTCAGGCGTCAACAGAATTTGTAGAAAAGCAACTTCGATATCTGCAGGAAATGCTATTTTGTGTTGGCGAAATTTAATTAGCAAATCTAATAATTCAGGCTTTGAATTTGGTCCTGAATGTAAGCAATCCTTTAAAGTTAATAGAACTGTAAGGAGTATGCGAGTATGAAGCATCAAATACGACCCTTAATTTCGTAGAATCGTGATCTTCTCTGATTAAACAATGGTGTGGCAAATAATAGATGTTTTCCGTAGAATTCTTCGGAGCCTTTTTAGCTATTCCTGTATTTAGATAATCTTCAGTTACACTTGAATACTTGTCATAAATTCATAAATTTCAGGATTTTTCTTAAATCTTCTAAGTACTGTAATTTCCGAAAGAAAGGCCGCATCAGCGTAAACGCTGCACTCGAGAAAAAATGGCGGGAAAAAAATTAAAATTGCACAGAAACACCGCAGTAGATTTAATTGCGTATGACATCTTCGTGGGCCGTATAGATGCAAAATCTCAACCTATGTCTTGATATATGACATATAAGTTAAGAAAAATGCATGAAATGAAATCATAACTTAAAAATAAAGGTAAGAAATGTTGAAAATATATTTACGTTCACAAATATATATACCCACTAAAGAAGTCCATATTTGTAATACTCAGACTATATTATAAAAAATGTTGCAACAACGAACTATTAAATTTGGATTACAAAAGGAAATTTTAAATTTTACTTACGAAAGGAATTACAGCAAACTATACATCATATGAAGCCATCAAAATCTGATTCTTCACTTTCTGAATTAAAAAGATTTAGTAAATCCTGATCTGAGTCGAAGTCTTCCAGATCATCACATTCATCCTCTTGGTTTACAGTCTCTTTATCTAAAGATATAATTTCAGCTTCTTTGAATCCTGCTATTATTGACGATGTTTTTACCGATTTCCACACACTTCCTACCCACTTTGCAACTTGTTCATAAGATGCTCTAAGCATTTTGCCGCTTTTGGTATATGTATGCAATCCTTCACTCATCCAACACTCCCACTGCTTTCGGACTTCAGCTTTGAAAGATTTATTACCTGACAAATCTAATGGTTGTAAGATTTTTGTCAAACCACCAGGAATTATTGCTACGGTCGTAGACAATTTTTGACATCTGGTTTTCACTGACTGAAGTAAATGAGCACGCATGGAATGCATTATCAATAACCCTTTTGGTTGGAAAAAAGATCCTTTACGATACTGCCAAACGTTTTGTAGCCACCATAGCATGATTGTTTCGCACA